TGCCAAGTTGTCCCCTAGAATGTTTAACTGAACACCTTAGACATACCTTTTCCATTTTATTTTTTACAATATAAAAGGGAAAGAAAAGATCGGAACTCCACATTAATTTCATCTCCATACTTCAAAAGAGGAGCTTCTTATGAATGAAAAAGTTCGCATTCCAGGTATCTGCATGGATAAGGAAGAAGACGTGTCGGGCACCGGACCAATTGCTCTACTGTTCTGAGCTTTCGAACTCTTACAGCGGTCCATCTTTAGAGATAAGAAGCAGCGACCAAAAGGAGGATAATGATAGTAGCCATAGGCCAATCAACTGTCAGCGGTCATCTGAGCGTCAAGGAGTAAGAAATATCGACCATAAAGAATGGAGTTAGGGGGTAATTATAGTGGTATACGCTAATTAACTGTCAGTGAAGTCGGTGGTCGTTCGGGGTCATAAATAGCAATAACTGTAATGCCTTGTTCCCACGGTAGAGGGTCCCGGTGATCCTGCCTTCTATTCTGGTGGGTTCGTCGTGGGGTCCTCTTCGTTTGCAATTCTGATGTTAGGTTTTGCCTTGTTCCGTCCTTTGCTTACATAATGATGCAAGACTTTGTAGGGTGCCGGGAGGTCTAGGTGCTTGTTGACAGAGTTGGCATTTGAGTATCATGCCTCAAGCGTCAGCCTTTCGACTTTTGATTTTCTTTGGCCTACGATGGTTGCCCCTTGAATATCGAAGTCGTGGCCAGTCTCTCCAGTGTGTGCTGCAAGCTGTGAGTTTGGGTCTAGTCTCCAGGCCGCCTGTTTGTGTTCCTGTAGGCGGGTCTGTTGTTTTCGGCCTGTTTCTCCTACGTAATTACAGTCTCGATCGTTGCACCGTATCTTATAGACAACTGCAGAGGTTTTGGTAGTCTGCCTTTAGGTTGCATCACACGGTGGCGCATTGTCGCCTATGACTTCTATAATTACCCTCCTGTTGTTTGCTACTTCTTATCTCTGAAGATTGACTCCTGTAAGAGTTTGAAAGCTCAGGAAAATAAAGTAATTGATCCAGTGCTCGACACGTTTTCTTCCTTATCCATGGAGCTTCTTATAAACATATCCTTATGCAGGGACAGGTTTTACAAAGAGCCAGTGACGTAATTTGCAAACTACTTATAGTGGGCTGAACGTTTATGCATCATCATTCTTATCTACAGCATTTAAGGACTTTCAAGTCCTCATAACCTGCCCTGATGGAAAAGGTATTTTACGTAAAAATCAACCGAGTCTCTAACTGCTCCTCGCATTATTTTTAAGTTAAATAAGACCATAAGGAAAATATTTACTACATTCTGAATTGTTTCTGCTTTTATTCAGAGTCAGCTCCTTCTTTACTTGTCTGCATTTTCTTCATTTCAAATATATTAAAGATTTGTGGAGCACATGGCCCATCAGTCCTACGGGTTTTCCGTTAACTTATAACGTAGGTTTGTCCTTTCAAACTACTCATTATGTCTTACAGGCAACCAATAAACACAGTACATAAACTCAGTGACCTACGGTGATAGGAAACCATCGCGATCGTAGGGAAAATGGCCTGCAATACAAAATCTATCTCATCTTTAGTCGACGGCTAATTTAAACTAAATGAAAGGAATTCAATTTCCTGTTTAGACCGTTTTTCTGACTTTGTTTATTGAGCTTCCGGTTTGCAGAGTTCGAAAGTCGCCATGTAAGTTCTCTCCGGAACGCAAATGAGCTTGTCATCATACGAAAGTTACCCTATAGGCTTTTGCCTCCGTCTATGGTTCACTAATTTTCTTATTTGGCGGTAACTTAACATGATATCAAATTAAATGCTCTATGAAATGTACCTTTAAATGCCTTCTTGTTGCGGGAAAGAAACCTTAGTATTGAAAAGTCAGACTGGCAAACATATGTTTTCAGTCATTCATCGTCACGCTGCTACACTGACAGGGGCGAGTTAAGTACAGTGTACATAACTCATGTGTTAATTTCCTATGTCATTGTAGAGGCCGGACTCAAAATGTGTTTGCCAATATGACTGCACTCGCAACATGGGAATTTTGAGACAATTAGAGTTGGGTATGAAAAAAGTGCCAGTACATTTGCAGCCAATGCATGTACGCGCAACGGCCTTTTAGCGTAGTTCCTAAAACTGTTAACCGGCCCAATATTAATTGGCGTACGGAGCATCTGAATGTGAGAACTGTGATTGGCTGCGGCACGTACGTTTACCAATAGACGAAGGAATGTTGATTGGTTGGTCTCTGTGACAGGGTATAATCTTGAGATTTTGAACAATATCCAGCCTGGAAGTCCAAGCTGGGTGGAGCTAGAGCCTTGTCGTGGTTTTCTATTCTTCATAGGATACACAACCGCAACTCTTGCCTCTTGGGCGCCGCCAGTTGGCGAAACAATTTTAATATAAAAGGTTGTTCATAGCTTTTCGCCTCTTATTAACATCGAGGGACCCAAATTTGCCCAAGCACCACTACCCGTTCATCACGTGTTTTTTTTTGCTTCCAGGAAAATACTCCGTCAACCTTTCGAAGGAAGGGATTATCCTGTTTAAACACCGACGATCCTCCCTTGTTTTTTGATGTTTTTGCACTTATGGGTGATGGTTCTCCTGTAAATCTCCTTTTGAAGGAAATCAGAAGTTATTTTTCGTAGGTGGTGGTGCGCCATAATTACATTTGTACATTAAATACATCCTAACCTCTTTTTTAAACATTTTAGTTTTGTTTATGTTCAAGGTCAGTTAAACTCTTGAATTCTGACGAGCCAAAGTAGCTGTTGGGTGGTATTGGATTTACGGATAGCATGCAACTAGATATCTTGGCAGAGTTTCGGGTTAGGCTTTCGTAGATTCAAAGTAAATTTCTAGTTGTTATATACCGGAACACTCATGATTAAATTAGATCTGCAGAGTTGCAACGTTGAACTTAGGTAAATTAAAATGAAAAAAATCCCCCCTTGTTTTCACTGCTTGCTGCTGGGGTTACGTATTGAGAATAAATGCGCTTTATAGGAAATTTTCGACCGCAAACAATTTATTCACCACAATTCAGAAATATGTTGCTTTGTTCGTATACGCAAAAGGTAATTCGGGTAGACCAAGTTCCTTGGCCTTGCCTAAGGGTAGCACAAACTTTACTAAATGGAATCTTTCGCTGTCCTTGATGTCTAAGACATGGAGGAAGATATTTACAGAGGAAATAAAGTTCTATATCCCACTGGTTTTAATAATAGAGCACATTTTAAACGAAGGATTATGCAAATGATTACAACAAGTTACTACTTCCGATGGGCCCCTCGAAATGCTTTTTATCTTGTCATCTCTTCGATCGAGCGTTTAAGCAGCAGTTGAGCTTTGCGTTGGGGAAAGTTCGCTTGTAGAACAGACAACAAACTTAAGCAATGAAATCTGCTCAGTGCTCTTACCTATGATCAGCCTATGTAAACTTTCTTAAGTTCCTCAACGTAGTGACCTCAGTTGTGGTGATTAGTCTTGGATATCTTCACAAAACCCCTCGTTTTGATATAAATAGGAGCAAGGCCACAGTTTCCTCCATGGCCAAGTGGTGCATTGATGGAGTACTTTTTGTTAGCTTCTTACGGGGGTGCTAAATGAAGGTCAGGTTTCTGATTATGGGCATTAGGAAAAGGAAATAAATGCCTGCAGCGTTATAAAACGCAAGACCTGTAGATTATTCGACCGCATTACCTTTCTGTTTTCCCATACTTAATACTAATGAACTTTTCTATGGAAAGCTTAATTTCAGGTCCAACAAACCCACTTCAGGTTGAATCTTCAACTGTGTATGTGATTACTGTGAATTAACATGTGAAGCAGAGTTTGACTAACACATGTTTTCGATTTTTTATAATCAGGCCTTAACAGTAATCTGGAGGAGGATAGAGTAACAAAAGTTCAAACACCTAATAAACAGCAATTATGGGGGAGAAGACTGAGGGATTTCAGAGGTCTGGGGGTAATAAGCTAATCCTAGTAGGGACTTAGAGAGAGGGGTGAGCAGGGGGAGGGTGAAGGAGGCATCCGACAATTAACTGGGTTTCTGCTCCTTCGCCGTGGTACGAGGAGGTGTGGACACATTCTGAGTTCCCCTTCTGCCAGGAAAGCCTTAGAGCCCATAAAAACGCCTTCTGTGAGCACAAAGTTGGGTTCCTCAAACCTATGGCCATTGTCTCTGCCATCGCAAGTATCTGCTGACGCGGGAACCGAAAGTGTTCCGTAGGCGCTTTACAGGTTGCACAGAATGTTTGCTTGACGTCCGCCAAGCTTGGATTCGTAAATTTTTACATGGGCGTCATTGTTGGACTTAACAATTTACTATAAACTTAAATTATTATGAAGACGACACTGTGAGATAGTTTACTGGTGCTTTTTAAGCAACACACTCGTCCTTTATGAGTTTTTGTCCATATGAACTTATTTTTTCAAGATTATGATAGAAGCCTTTTGCCCACCTAGATTAATAACTGCATTAAATATCAAGATGATCGTTTATTGCTAAAAGAGCAATGCATTCGGCAGTCGTTTTAAAGATGCCTATTGCGATAGGACGATTACATTCTTCTCGGCAGTCACGCGACAAGCTGTTCTTTATATTCCTGACGATATTAGCCTGCAATATGAGGACGTTTTGGACACCGCACAGAGTGCGAATCCCATCGACTGGAGTCGCTAAATCCGCCACATATAATAACAAATGATTGTGCAGTAACTTTGCTCCTTTAGGTTTTATAGAGTTTCTCCTGATAAACATTTGATAGAGTTTTAAACTGAAACCCCGGCAAGGGCAAGCTTTCCCGATGAATCTCTAGTCAGCACAGTGCAAAGGCCTATTAGGACTTCAGACCTGCATTCGAGGGTACAACGAAAAATACTCATTCTATCTTGTAGCACGGTTAGGTAAATGAATTATGTCCTCTGGTTAGGGTTAACAGTCTTGTTACCACCTTATCTATGCATGTATCACCCTATTCTGCGGTTAAGTCTGACGAGGAGTTCTCGACAGAGTCAGAAACGGCAGACAAATGAACTTCTTGTTTCAGCGATTGCATATTCTATTTCTGATTCTTGTAAACCCCTGAGTCATCGAGGTAGACGGCCAAATAAATGGCCATTTTAATTTGGTTGAATTTTGAGGCCTTTCCGATCTCCTGATTGGATGTAAACTCCGAAGGAGTAAACTGAAGCGTAAGTGTTAATGTAA